TGGATCTTTACTGCCGTTTATGGGCACCCTTGCCCTACTAAGAGATCTTATCTTTGGCAAACTTTATCTATTATTGCTGCTTCATGGAATCTACCTTGGGTTGTGTGTGAAGATTTTAATGATATATTGTTTAAGGATGAAAAAGTTGGAAAATTATATGGTAAAAGTATAGGTTTCAAGGAATGGTTTGATCATCATAGGCTCATTTATTTAGGGTTTTGGGACCCAAATTTACTTGGGTTAATAAGAGGGTTAGTGGTGATTTTGTGATGAGGGGCTATTTGCAACAAGGAGTGGAGGGTTTTATTTTCAGAAGCTTTCATAAGGCATAGAGGATGTTATGATCATAGTCCTCTTTTGATTAGTCTTTTTTTTTTATTTTTATTTTTATAAGATTCTTTCGTATGAGCTTAAGCCTTTCAGATTTGAGGAAATGTGCCTTAAACATTGTTTATTTCCCGAGTTCATCAAAACATAGTGGAATAATTTGGAAGGCTCACTTTCTAATAAATTGGACAAGTTGATTCCTCTGCTTCGGCATTGGAATTCTCAAGTCTTTGGTTATGTTTTTCAAAAGAATAAGAGAATTCTTGCTAGACTTCAAGGTATTCATTCAAAGGTCTCTTTGTAAGGGTTACTCCCTTTTTATTTATTTTATTAATGTTGAGAAGCAGTTACAACACGAGTTTGAGGATTTATTGGATTAGGAGGATGTGTTTTGCAAGCAAAAATCTAGAGTTTCTTGGTTGCAAAGTTAGGATAGAATTACCAAGTTCATTCACATTACTAGTCTTGTTAGAAGAATAAGGAATAAAATTGAAAAGTTAAAATGTGGTGACTAGAAAGGAGGTGCATGATGCTTTTTTTTTTAATTAGTCCTTACATGGCTCCTGGCCCGGATGACTATTATGCTATTTTTTTTTTCCATAATTGTTGGTCTATTTGTAAAAAAAGATATTGAAGTTTTGGTGTTTAAGTGTTTTTCTAGTGGTTCCGTTCCAGAGTTTCTGAATAGTACTCTTATTATTCGGGTTCATAAAATCACTAATCCTCAGAGCATGTTGCAGTTCCATCCAATTAGTTTATGTAACACTTTATACAAAGTTGTTTCTAAGATAATTATTGGAAGGCTCGGATCCTTTATGAGTAAGCTTGTTAGCCCCAACCAAGTTAGTTTTGTTCATGGAAGACAAATTTCAGATAATATTTTCATTGCTTAAGAGGTTCTGTATAGATTCCACAGAGCTAGAGATAAAAACTGGGTATATAGCTTGGAAAATTTACCTCTCTAAGGCTTATGACAATTTGAAATGGTCTTTCATTGAGCAAACTCTTGCCAAAATTGGTATTGGGAAAATTTCTCTTCAACTTATTATGAGTTGTGTTAAGAATGTCTTATACAAAATCATTATGAATGGGGAATGTATTGAGAGTTTCAAAGCTCAAAGAGGTGTCAGACAAGGTGACCCTCTATCCCCTTACCTCTTGTTTTATGTATGGAAAAACTTAGCCACATCATTGCTGCTAAGGTGTTAAAGAAGGATTAGAAAGTTGTTAGTGCAACGAGGTCTAGTCCTTTAATTTGGTATCTTTTCTTTGTGGATAATTTGATTCTCTTTGGCGAGGCTTCTGCTCAGCAAGCTATGGTGATGAAGAATTCTCTTGATGAGTTTTGTGAGCTTTCCGAACAACAAGTTAATTTTGAGAAATCTTTGTTGTACATATATGTAAATACTAAATATGAGCTTGTTGATCAAATTGAGTTGATTTATGAAGTTACCAAATCTGCTAATATGGTGAAATATCTTGGAGTCCCTCTTGTTCAAGGAAGGGTTACTAAGGCTACATAAAGGAGGTTCTTGTTAAAGTTTAGGCTAAACTTTCTTCTTGGAAAAGTCAACTGCTTTCTATGGCTGAAAGAATCATTTTAATCCAGTATGTTGCTTCTTCTATTCCTCTCTATACCATGTAGACATCTAAGCTTCCTCAAGCTCTTTGAGAAGAGCTTGACAAGTCTTCTAAAAGATTTCTTTGGGGAAGTAGTGAGAACCATCATAAAACTCATTTAGTCAAATGAGATACAGTTTGTTTGCCTAAACATTTGGGATGTTTGGGTATTAAAAAGGTTTCTCTTATGAATCAAGCCATGTTATCTAAAGCTAGTTGGAGAATTGTTGTCAGGGACTCTGGATTTTAGGCTGCTATGCTAAGGAAAAAGTACTTAAGGGGTAGTTGGTGCTTTGATGCTTATGATGATAACCATACTTTGGCTCACAACACTTGGAAATGGTTGATGTTTGGAGCTGACATTTTGAATAATGGTAGGAAGTGAAGAGTCGAAGATGGTACTAGAGTCAAATTTCGGATTGATATATAGATTGGTGATGTTCCGATGGTGGATACTAACTTTCCCTTATTTGATCAGTTTGACATCACTGCAACTGTGTCTAATTATTTTTCTAGGATTGGTTGGAATATTGAGAAGCTCCTGCAAGCTCTTCTTCCTGAAGCCTTTAAGAAGATCATTAGTATTCATGTTGATTTTGAAGGGAATTTACCTCTTACTTGTATCTGGGGACCCACTTCAAATGGAATTTTTTCCTATGAAGTCTGCCTATGAGCTATCTACTGGTTTTAATAAAGTCATGGTTCTTCTTGGAATTTTATTTGGAAATTGAAGATCCCTCCTCATGTTAAAGTGTTCATTTGGCTCCTTACTCAAAATAAGATCTTAACTAATGTGCAAAAAGTAAGAAGACATCTTTCTAAGGACCATTCTTGTTCTCTCTGTCATTATCATGAGGAGTCATTGCAACATCTTTTTACTACATGCCCTCGTATGCTTGCGCTTTGGAGATCCTTATTAAAAGTTTGATCAACTTCTATTTCTCTAATTTTGATAGTTGGTTGAAGAATAATTTGTGTTATAATGCTGGGCATTTAGGGAATTTGAAGTGGTGTAATATTTTTTTATGTTGCTTGCTGGTTCATTTAGAAGTGGAGGTGTTGTTCTATCTTTGAACCTCAATTTCAAACGTCTTCTTGTCCTAAACAGACTACTGTCAAGTATCTTATTGAGTGGGATAAGGCCAATTACCTTTTAAAGAAGGCTACGATTCAATCTCACATTTCTCTTGCTTGTCAGCCTCCTCCTTGTGGCTTCTTTAAGTTGAATATTGATGGTTCAAGAGTGAGTGACTGTGGATGCATTGCTGAGGAGGTATAATTAGGAACTCTAATGGTATCTGGATAGAAGGATTTTATGCTAATCTTGGTCATGGTGATGTCTTTATGGTTGAAGCTTGGGCCATCTCCAAGGGTGTAGGAAAATGAAATAGGCAAAGTTGTACTATATAGACTGATGTGGCATGTTGCCTACCCATTTACCTCATGAAAAAGTTGATCACTCCAAGAGACTAGGCAATGCACGTGTACAAATCACTACTATATTATTTATTTTAATCTTTCACTTTTATTGTTATATTTTATAGAAAGTAAATGAGAGAGTGAAGATGATATTTTATTATAAAAAGTAAGTGGGGCCCAATATACTTCTTCACTTTGAAGTAGGCAATATTGCTTGTTGGGGGAGAGTATAAATATTTTGCCTACTCATTTGCCTCTTTTCTTGAAGCATAAAAATGCTGATGTAGCAAGACAAATGAGATTTGTCTACTTTTTTGTGTGAGATAATTGTTAATTCTGATTATGCTCATCTTGTTGATATGATTAATGTAGATCTCATCCTATGTTTGTGTTGTTAACCAAATGTAGAGAGCTTTTGGAAAGCCAATGGAATTGCGACATTCTTCGTGTCTATAGGGAGACCAAATTTTGCAGCAGATTTTCTAGCTAAGATGGGTCATCATAAGGATATGGAATATCATGAGCTTTTTTCACCACCTGAGCAGCTGAAGGCTATTTTTGGTGATGATAAGAATGTCCTCTTGATGCATAGATTTATTTTTGTGTAGTCTCTTTGGTTTGGGCTTTGCCTCTATATTATCAAAAAACAAATAAATAAAAGGGTCTCATTTTCATGATTTTATTTTATTTCTCATACGTCAACTTTGAACGGGAATTAATTCCATTTAATTCCATTTTTTGAGTGTGGAGACACCTCTTAAAATTTACTAAAAAAAACCAACGAATCTAAATTACTATTTTATTTTCAGAGTCAAAAATGGACTTCTCTTGCCCCGTACAAGTTTTTGCAACAAAACAACGCAAACAGCGATTAGGCGGAGTTGATAGTTGAAGGCTAAAGCAGACTGGACCCCAAATCATCAAAGAATACCTTTCCTCCACTTTGGATGGCTACAAAAAATAAACCTATTGATTTGATTCAATTTTATATCAACAAACAAACATTGCCTCGTTTGGTAGTTGGGTGCACATTGTTCGCTAATCCGCCCTCCACCATAGCCCTGCCTGCCTACCTACCTTTTTCCTACATCTGCAGAGGACCTAACCTACCCTCTCTGCGCTATTTATCAAAATTAATTAATTTATCTTTTAATTGACATTAATCATTTTTTAATTGTCTCTTGTCGCTAACAATCTTTTCAAACTACACCTTGTGCTTCTGCGGCTGTCCACGACTCCAAGCGTTTTGGTTCCGAAATTGACCGCCAACCAGGGACTTCCCACATAATTACGACTTTACCTTTTTTATTTTGCTGTCATTATTTAATAAGTAAAGTCAAATAATAAGTGTACAAAAAACTATATTTTTTATTTACGCTTATTTTAAGAGCCTTTTGCTTTTAAATTTTTTTTTAAAAAAAATAGTGGTAAATGAAATTTCTCACACACCCTATTAAAATGTCATAAAAGTCGAATTACCACTCATTTGTAAGTCTTTTTTCAGTGAACTATACCGTCGACAGCATTTTGCATTATTTTTTTTCCATTTGTTGTTAAAAAAATGTATGTGGTCGCTGGTCGCGGGTCCATCATCGTAATATACATTTTTCCGAAGCCGCAGAACTTGGTGGAAGTTCCAAATTAAAAAAAAATGATTTAAAAAAAAAAGAAATAAATAATAAAAGGTCGAAAGTACGGAGAGAAAACAAAATACAGAATTATTAAAACGAAAGGTAATTGAAGAAAGAGCGGTGGCCGCTGCTGCTTCCCTTCACGCTCATTTTTACACATCTCGTCGCCGATCCGATCCCCACTCCAAACCCGCCAACAAGGTTCGTCTCTCTCCCAAATTCCTAGGCCCTCTGATTTATTTCCCTATCAATTTTGATCTGATCTTTTGTTTCCTTATGTCCAGTAAATCGTTTTGTTCTTCCACATATGCTCAGTGCTTTCACTGAAAATTTCAGTTCCTGAATAGTTTTTTTTTTCCTTTCTGTTTTTTTATTTATTTGGTGGTCAGTTTGATTTCGAGGAAAAGAGACAAAGATGTTGGGGATTTTAAGGCAAAAAGTGGGAGCTGGAAGCTCATCTGCTATGGTACACCCTACTATTTCTGCAATTCTTTATTGTGGTTTTGATTATGGAAGACACTTCATTGCTTTACCCTTAATATGATTTGTTTTCCCAATATTTGTGATGGTTCAGATTTTGGGGCAGTCCATGCAGAGGATCCGCCCCACCACATCGGCATTGAGAGCTTTTTCATCTTCCGCAAAAGAGGTAAACGTTAGTTTTCGGATTCGACTTTCTCGTATTGTTCTTTCTGGCATCTACTTTTTTTTACCGTCCTACTTGTATATGAAGTTCTGCTTGTTCACATAACTTTTGGGCGTTAGTTTTTATTTGTACCTATTCTCAGTGGTATATCTTCACTTTCCAGAGGCACTTAATATTTTTTTGCAAATGAAAATCATGCACACAGATGACAGTGAGGGATGCTTTAAACTCTGCACTCGATGAGGAAATGTCTGCAGACCCGAAAGTCTTCTTGATGGGTGAAGAGGTGAGGATACATGGATAGGTTGTACTATTTTTTACTTAGAAACCAACAGAATTTGTTTTCGTAAGCTTGATCATTGTTCTTTATGTTATGCAGGTTGGGGAATACCAAGGTGCTTACAAGGTTAGAATTATTTACTGAAGAAATACATTTGAATTCTCCTTTTTTCCCTCCTATTCCATTACTATCCCATGTGAACTTACACATCTCTGACAGTTGGCCTTTATGCTCCATTGTATATAGATATCCAAAGGACTTCTCGACAAGTATGGCCCTGACAGAGTTCTTGATACCCCCATCACGGAGGTAATTCCTGTTACTTGACAAGCCATGCAAATTCTCTTTTGTTTACTTCTGTGGTTCTGTAAAATCATTAATTTCTTCCATTTTCTTTATTTCGCTCCTAGACTTCATGTTATGTTGGCCCTGCATGTTTATTTACATTAGTGAAAGTAGCTGACTTATCTCATTTTATGTTTACAGGCTGGGTTCACTGGGATTGGAGTTGGTGCTGCTTACTATGGTTTGAAACCTGTTGTAGAGTTTATGACCTTTAACTTCTCAATGCAGGTTGGAGGTTTTTTCTTTGGTTATAAACTTCTGACATTTTTGTACTTGAGTTTAATGTTATATGGTTGATGTCTTGACACTGAAGGGTTTTTTTGGTTAGTCTGAAACTATTGGCATCTAAAATGCTGACATGGGCACTTATTGAATTTGTTCATATTATAATTGTAGCAAATCTTGTCATGGTCTTATTCTATAGAAAATCCAGATACCTTCCATTCAAGGAGAAGTGTTCATGATTTATTTAACCATGAAATGGATTCAAGTTTTTCACTAATGAAATTTTGTGCTTTCATGCTGCTGCCTTGTTGCCCTTGGCAGGCTGAGTTGGTATAAAGATATGCCTTTTTAACCTCTAATCGTTCACTTAAGATTTTATTGTATAGAGTTAAGAATTGAACATTTTTGGAGTTCTGTAAGTGTTTAAACTGTGCTGGAAGGATTAGATGTTATATTAAACAAAGGTCCCTCTTGATTTTGAGAGAGAGAGAGAGAGAGAGAGAGAGAGAGTGGTTTCCCTAGAGGATTTCAGAAGCCTTCTAAGACTGTTAAGTTGAAAAGGATGAGAACGTTGAAATCTTTTGTTTGGCTGCATTATATCTATTTACTTACAGGTATTTTACAGTCTTGTTCTTATCAGCCTGCTAGATCATTTAGTCCTGTTTATCATTCTTTAGAGGATTATGTATTTTCTGTTCTTGTTATTGTGAATCTCAGTTAGGGCTTTTGTTGCAGGCAATTGACCACATCATAAATTCTGCTGCAAAATCAAATTATATGTCCGCAGGCCAAATAAATGTCCCCATTGTTTTCAGAGGACCAAACGGTGCTGCTGCTGGTGTTGGTGCCCAGCACTCTCAAGTAATGTTCTTCAAGCCATTTATTTTACATCTCTCGTCTACTTTGTTACATTGCCATCTTTCATATGTTACCATTTAGTTAGTGTGAATTGCGAATGAATTTTGACAATTAATGATATGCTTTTTGATCTAGTGTTATGCAGCATGGTATGCTGCCGTCCCTGGGTTGAAAGTTTTGACCCCTTATTCATCTGAAGATGCTCGTGGGCTCCTAAAAGCTGCCATTAGGGACCCTGATCCTGTTGTTTTCCTTGAGAATGAGTTGCTGTAAGTAATTCACTGCAGATTGTCATGTTTATGTTGTTTGTTATCTTGTCAAACATTATGGGTTTGATGGTTTGCAGTAATTTTCTGTTTCAGATATGGTGAGTCATTTCCTGTTTCAGCTGAAGTTCTTGATTCCAGTTTTTGCCTTCCAATAGGGAAAGCTAAGGTGATCACTCAGCTAATAAAATGCATCTGAAAGATGCTTGTTGCTTGCACTCTTAATTCCACGTTTTTTTGTTCACTATCAATGATGATTGCCTTCTAATCGTAATATAATTAAACTCAGATTGAGAAAGAAGGAAAGGATGTCACTATTACAGCTTTTTCAAAAATGGTCGGCTATGTTCTGCAGGTTTGTTTACTTTACCTCCTGCTGCCTGGATGTGGTGCATGTAATAATAGGGTGTAATTTTTGCTATTAAGTTAGAGCATAGTTACCTGGTAAGGGAACGAGAGAGTACGTGTATAGCAGGTTAACTAAATTAAATATGTAATCTAAAATTAAGAAAGAACTTTAATTAAGGGGAGTTATTTCATTGGAAAAATATAAGGGGAGTAATTTAATTTATTATTTATTTAATGGTAAAATTAGTTGGAAGTTCAGAGGGTCTATGAAAGACCCGTGCCTTCATTTCCAACAGGTGCCTCTTTGGAACACATTAAATTGAAGGACCCAATGTCGTCGTCCTCTTTGCTACACTTATGACCCAATTTCAAAGCTCCCATAGCTCTCTCCCTCCATTGCGCTCTCTCTCTCTCTCTCTGTCTTCACATCTCTCCCAGTACTGGTTCTCCTTAACAAATGCGGTTTGTTGAATATATATTGATCCAGGTGGCTATTAGAGCTGGATTGACATGACAGATGCTTAATAAGTTGTACTTAATAATTTAGAGGAATTTGAAATGGAACTTGCATGAAACTTTATCATAGCTTTGACAAGAAGCACCTAGTTGCTGCTGTGAAATACTGTTGCCTTTATAATTGTTCAACATTCCATTAGTGGTTTGCCTGCCGATTTGACATCTCCTTAATACTGTTGCCCTTAATTTGTGGTTTATGGGTGCTTATTTGTTGACACGTTTCTTTTATTTTATGTCTGCATAAGAGCGAATATAGAAAGTGTATTTTATAGGCACTTCTTTTAATTCTTGCTTATATAGTCTTTGGTTTGCAGCCAGACTCTCTCTCCCCTCCCCCTTTTCCTTTCCTCCCTTACATTTGTGATTTAATTCTGTTGGTTTTCAGGCGGCTGAGATACTCGCTAAGGAAGGAATCAGTGCTGAGGTAAATTTATATTGGTAACAACACAATCTTGTTCGTACTCTAGCAATAGAGACATTATTGACTATTTGTTTTATTACAGGTCATAAATTTGCGGTCAATTCGTCCTCTGGACAGGAACACCATCAATGCTTCGGTCAGGAAAACCAACAGGCTGGTAACAGTTGAAGAAGGGTTTCCTCAGCATGGTGTTGGTGCTGAAATCTGGTCTGTCTCTTTACACTCATATATATATTCCCTGCTGAGTGATTTTCAGACACTTTTAATACTTAACACTCTGTACTTCTTAACAGCACATCTGTTGTTGAGGATAGCTTTGGCTATCTTGATGCACCGGTTGAGAGAATTGCTGGGGCTGATGTTCCAATGCCTTATGCTGCTAATTTGGAGAGATTGGCTGTTCCTCAGGTGAGTTCCCTTCCGATTTTTATGGTTTGGTATCAATTATCAGTGTACGGTGTATTTCCACTGTTGGCACTGAAATATGGTTGCACTGCCTTATGGTTGGTCAATAGGTGCAATAGTTATTTAGTCGTTGGCTCTTTGCCATTAATTGGGCTGTAGGCCAGGCTGCATTGCCATTTACATCTTGGTTAACTGTTTTTACAGGTAGAAGATATTGTTCGTGCGGCAAAGAGAGCGTGCTACAGATCGGCGTCATTGGCTGCAAGTGCTTAATTTTACTACTCGAATGCAGAAATTCTCCCAATCAAGGTTAGTTGAAGGGTTCTTTCATGGTTCATGGAATGATTTGGTGCGTACATGATATGGTTATTGTATGCGTGCTACAGATCTGTATGTAGCAACATTCTTTAATCAAAGTTTTAGGTTATTCTATGGTTCATAGTGTGTTTAAGGTTTTAATAAAGTGAGTTTATTTTTCTGAATAATTTTTTAATTTTCTTTCAGGAGATATAGAGATTGTACATTATTTCTCCTCATCCTGTGGGGAGGAACTGCTTGTGAAATAACTCGGGAGAACATTGACAAGAGCGAGGGATTTTTTTGACTCTGTTTTGTCCTTAATATTTGTGGCTGTCAACATTAAACTGATCGCATTTTGGAAGCCATTTTCAGGGTTTTGTACTTGAATTTCTAAACCACACCATCTTATTCCAGAAAGGTTAATGGTGCTGCTTCAGTGTTTATCTTCCAGTGGCATTTGTATTGGCTGCCCTTTGTTAATCATTCATTATTGATGTACTTTGCAGGGGCTTATGTTCGTTAGAATCAAAGCAAAATAAGTGACAAAAAATTTTAGGAAGGAGAAAAAATCATTTGAATTTTGAAATGATAAGCATGTTCTAGTTGTATGTTCGATTTGAGTTTGCAGGGTACAAATTGATTGAGCAAATATCAGAAGATAGTTTTGTCGACTTTCCTGTGTGTTTTATTGAGGAAATATGAATCACAAGGTCAATTGGCTACATAATGAAATTAGTGAGTTATTCAATTCAATCCTAAACACCAAATGTGTCGTTTTTAAATTGTTTTTGACCTGCGATTTTGAATGCAGGGTAAATGCTCTGAACTATTTGAGCTACAAAACGAGCCTTAAGAACAGTGTTTAAACATTAACAACTCTCTTAGCTTCTTCTAATGTAAGGGGGCAAAACTATGGCTGCAGTTCATTGGATTGTCCTTTCTTTATTGAATTTGATAGATACCTTGGTCAGAAAGCTTGACTAATTTATGAATGCTAAAGTGTTGGTCAGCCCATTGGTTGGGGCAAGGCCTCCAAGCCACAAAATAAACGCTGACTAAAGAATCTCTCCACTGCAAAACAAATTTGTTTTGTCTTTCTGTATTGGTAGGTGGTGGGGATGGGTGCAAATATGATATCCCACTGAATACTGAATGTTGGGGTTGGGGTTGGTGTTGTTGAGTTGGGAGAATAGGAAGGAATGTATTTAAAACGCTGTCGTACTTTGCAAGTTGTCCGGTTACATTGCTCTCTGCCGGTGGTTGGGTGATGTAAGGCTGATATCCACGAGTTTAGAGTCTTTTGACCAACTCTATTATTATTAGTTTGGTTTTCTCTTCCAAAATGAGCATAACATACTACTGATTGCTGGCTGCTGCTGCTGATACAGAAAATGATTAAGGACATCTTCATCAAATCAAATAATAACATATCTAAGTGTTATATATGGCAAACTAAAAACAGAAAAGTTCTGGGTAAACCCGTTATAATTCCTAGTCTTATCATATGATGGAGGTCTCTTGAGATAAGATGACTCTTTTCGGAGTATTTGTCTCACATGGAAAAAGATTAGTCTTACATCAATATATAGTTTAAATAATTTTGGGTATCTCGGCTCACATCCAACTAATTATGGATTGAATCTTGACTTTCTAACGGTCGCATGGAAAGAACTGAACAAGGAGACAATGAGTTTAAGAAACAAGAAGTAAAAGGGGTAAACCCTCCTCATAAAATGAATTTAAAGTTGTAAATTCTTGCAGTGATACACCATCGAGACATGTATTCATTAAACTGGAAATCTTCTTATTCTTTCTTTTATCCAATTGTATGTATATAAGTAGAGTAAAAAAGAGTGGGAACCTTTGTATGCATTACTTATAAACGTTGGTAACCATGCGTTTGAGGGTCTAGGGCCTTGGGGATGGTGGAAACGCTGGTGGAGGTGGTGGTGGGCTGGCGGGTCGACCAGCTTGTTCGTGGATGACCACCTTCTCCACATACAAACCTACGCATGAACACGTTAATTTATCAGACCCCAGAAAAAACAGAAATGCATATTAGCAAATCAAGCCGGACATGAAATTATTTGTGATCAAAAGTACTTCAAAATTAGAAAAGACGGAATATATGCACTTGCCAGTAAAACCAACAAGCGCTGGTTTACTTTGATGATCATCTTGCTTCTCTTGCTGGTTATTTGCAGCTCAGGAAGACAGAGAGGCTATATGCTTATATATTATATACTGCGTCAAATCGCATGCTGATCCATATGGTTGAAAAAACTGGATTTTGAACAGTAAGCGGTCACCCTTCTTAATTTGTTTTTATTTTATAGGACGACTTTCTGTGCCATATACTAATTTCCAGGTGCTTGGCACGAAGGAATTGAATTCTTCAAGGGACGTTTCGTAGTGTTTCCAAATTGGGCCTGGAAATTGTTTTGTGTGATAAACATGATTAATAATAGCTTGATAAAGTTATAGACACCTCATCACAAAAGCATGCATGCAACTCAGTCAATAATAAGGACAAACATTCCTTAACTTGGGAGGTCAAAAGTTATTAGAAGGTACGCGTGAAACTTCCCATAGGATGCCACTGGTGGTATTCCACCGCAATCATTCTCTCTGATATGTTTTAACTTTTTTCATATGAGAGTGCTGCTAAAATATGAAAACTTTGAGAGGATATTTGTTTGTGAGAATTTTCTATGTATTCTTCTTCTTGTAGGAGGTCATATTTATAATACAACAAAACCTGAATGGGCAAGTAAATAATAAATTCCTAAATCTATTTACAGTAGGAAATCAGGAATTAAAGTAAATCAATTACAAATAAAATAGGAATCCTTGGTGTGTAAGGAAAGTAAGTCAATATCCACAAGTCACGCCAACACTCCCCCTCACGTTGGTGCATAGATGTCGCCAATGCCCAACTGATCCAGTGAATTGTGGAATGCTTTACTGGAAATCGCCTTTGTCAAAATATCCGCCAATTGATCCTCGGATTTCACAAAAGGAAACTGAAACACTTTAGCCTCAAGCTTCTGTTTGATGAAGTGTCGATCCACCTCAACATGTTTAGTACGATCATGCTGAACTGGATTCTGTGCAATGGCTATAGCAGCCTTGTTGTCACAAAAGAGATTCATTGTGGATGTAGGTTTATACCCAAGTTCAGTAAGCAACTTTCTTAACCAAAGAAGTTCACAAATCCCTTTAGTCATGCCTCTGAACTCGGCTTCTGCACTGGATAAAGCTACTACATTCTGTTTCTTGCTCCTCCATGTCACCAAATTACCTCCCACAAATGTGAAGTAACCCGATGTGGATTTTCTATCTGTTACATTACCTGCCCAATCTGCATATGAATAACCATCAATATTTAGATGACCATGCTTTGAGAACATAAGTCCTTTTCCAGGCGCAGACTTCAAATATCTAAGTATCCGAAGAACTGCATTCATGTGGTCTTCACTTGGAGAGTGCATAAATTGACTGACAACGCTCACTGCATAAGCAATGTCTGGTCGAGTATGTGACAAATAGATCAATCTTCCCACTAACCTTTGGTATCTTTCTTTGTTAGTTGGAACTTGATTCGGATATTCTCCAAGATGATGATTCTGAACAATAGGAGTGTCCGCAGGTTTGCAATCTAGCATTCCTGTGTCTGTCAACAAGTCCAAGACATATTTCCTTTGAGAGAGAAATATGCCTCGCTGCGATCGAGCCACCTCAATTCCCAAGAAATACTTGAGTCCACCTAGATCCTTCATCTCAAACTCAGTAGCCAAATAAGGAGGAATGTCCATGTACACCTCCTCCGTGAGTTCGCCATGTAGAAAAGCATTTTTTACATCAAACTGGTGTAGTGGCCAATCCAAATTAGCTGCAAAGGACAATAAGACTCTGACGGTGTTTAACTTTGTAACTGGAGCAATGGTTTCTTCATAGTCTATATGATAGGTTTGTGTGTACCCTTTTGCCACAAGTCTTGCCTTGTATCGCTCGATAGATCCAT